GGGAGCTGAATCGCCTTAGTCCCTCCAGGGGGCTCTTGCGGGCCCCTTCCCCTTCAAGGGTGGACCGCCTGTCCACAGCAGATTCAGGGTGGTTTCCTGTCCCTGCACCCTTAAGCCTTCTGCTAACCTCTTCTCCCCTAAGAGGAGCCCCACCTACTCAGAGCAAGGGGCTGGACTGTGCTATTTCTGTCCTTTCTGGGATTCTTCTGAGAACAGATTCTTGTTTTCCGTCTGATTCAGATGTGAAACTTTTCCCGTGGCCTCTCACCCAGTTGCTGTGGGCTGCCACTCTGTCTCATCACTCCCTTCTTCCTCCAGCCAGGCCCCTCCTGTGCCCCTCCCCAAAGCTCTTCTCTCTGGTCAGTAGCTCAGTTCTTCGGAGACCTGGAGGAGGAAGTTGGGCCCAAGAGGGAGTCATTCCCTGCGGGGGCCCTGGGGGCCCTGGGCGCGGCATTTCGATACTCTGAAGTAGGACACTGTGATTCCCATGGCAAAGCCTGTTCCCGTGCAGAGAAGTCACCTGCAGGGCCCCATCCTCAGGTAGGCACCAGGGGGAGGCACGGAGAGGGGAGGAGGAGGACAAGTTGCTATGGGTCCACCACTAGTAGTTTGGTGGAGGGGAGGGATCAAGGCTTGACAGTCCCCGTATGTTGTGTGTGCATGTGAGTCCACATGTGTGTCCACTTCTCCACCTTTTCCCCTGCCTATCTTGCCCTTTCTCTTATTCTCCTCCCATTCCCATCTCCCTTTCCTTTGTATTGCTTCCTCTTGCCTGTGGCAGGTGACTTAGCTGTGATTTCCCTCCTTTCTCTCCTTTCTCACACCAGCATCCTCAGGACTTCATATCCCTCTGAAATCTCCCCATCTGATCTTAAGAACCCGAAAGGGAAATCCCATCCTTCTTCCAACTCCTAGCCCTTTGGCTTTTGGCTGCCCTGCACTAAGCCCCCTACTTAACAGTGATCTTTTAGGGTGCTGGAAGTAGGACAGGGGCTTTGGAAATTGCCAGATCATCAGCCATGATGGCCCAAAGAAACGAACTGGTGGGGAAGTTGAACTCTTCTGGGCTGTTGGGATTATTACTACCCTGAGCCTTCTCTTTCAGTGGGCTGCCTAGAGCTGGGAGAGACTGGTGCTTTCCAGGGGTCAGGGTCTGAGGCTGTTCCTGGGGTACAGGGGCCAAAGGTAGAGGAGAAAGCAGTGGGTGTGGTGAAACAGGACTAGGGGTGGAGGTGGAAGGATTGTTGTAGAAGATTCCAGTTTTCCTTAGGCCTGGATGGGGACCTGTCAGTGGGTGGGGAAGTAGGACTTCCGGCAGGAGAATGCTGAGGGGAGGGCTGTGGGTGGGCCCGGGTGGGGTGGGGGAGGGGGGGATCCTAACTCTGATCCCAAGGCTCCAGCCACAGATTCTAAAGTGTGGAGGACTTTAGAATCTGAGAGGCCAGTGGCTGTGAGGGAGTTAGAGGAAGGCGACATTCATTCAGCACCTGGATCCTTCTGGCTGCCTGAGTCCAGGTCCCCTTCTTAGACTCCCCATTTATCAAATTCATTCTTTAATCTTTCTTCCCCTTGCTCCCCACTTCTGGTGTCTGGATCATGTTCACTTCAGATTTCAATAGGAACTCTGAAAGAGCAGGGTCTAGAGGTGGAGTCAGGAGGAACTTGGAGGAAAGGTTGTGTGGAAGGCCAGCTACAGCCTCCTTCTCCGCAGGCTCTCCATTAGAGTTTCTGAAACCCTGCCTTATTTTTAAAGATTTTATTTATTGAGAGAGTGAGAGCATGTGAGAGAGAGGAAGAGAGATAGTGTGAGCAGGGGGAGGGGAGGAGGGGGAGTGAGAAGCAGACTTCCCACTGAGCAGGGAGCCTGATGTGGGGCTTGATCCCAGGACACCAAGACTTGAGCAGAAGGCAGACGCTTAACAGACTGAGCCACCCAGGCGCCCCTCCCTTTTATTTAAGGAACATTCGCTGAGCACGTAACTGAGTGCTCTGAGTACAGCAGCAGGATAAACAAGTCATTGTCCGTCCCACCGAGACGCTCATAGTCTGCTATGAGCTGCCAGACACCAGCACTTCAGACCACAGATTGAGGAGCTGTGATGGAACAGGCCTCAGCCTCCCTCCAAGTGAATTACACGATTGAGCCCCTTCTGCCCAACACCTTTGGTGTACAGGGCACAGTTAGGCCCCAGCAGTGTGAGTCGTAGGCTTGCCGGCCTGACTGAGATGGACAGTTTGTGCGACCTTGGGCCAGTTGCTTAACCTCCCTCCTCAGGTGGTTGTGTGACCCAAATGAGGTTTGTCATTATGAAGGAGAGATCGTGGCTACTTTTTCTCCGTTAGGGGGCTTCCCAGTCACCAGTCTGCGTGCATACTAGACTAACTCTTCTCCACCTGGACTTGGGAGGGAGAAGGCAGGCACTTGTTGGTCTGGAGGCCACGAGATGTGAGCTGGGTGGGGCCGGGGTGGTGTTGGTCAGTTCACTAGAATTCCTGTCACATTTATATAGCCCCACTCTGTGTGTCAGGCCTTTTGCATACATTATTTCATTTATTAAATAAATTATAAAATAAATAATAATTCTTATTAACAGGCCCTTCGCAGGTGGTTTGTCGTCATCTTCACTGTTTTACAGAGGAAGGAACAGAGACTCTAAAAGAAAGGTCCGGAAAGCTTCATGTGCAGGGGAGTCATCCTGGATATTTGTTAAACACGTTTGCAGATCCTTGAATCCTACCCTCAGAAATTTTGTTTTAGTAGTAGGTGTGCCGCGAGGCCTAGAATCTCGAATCTCAGTTTTTCGCAAGCATCCCAGGTAATTCAGATGCCAGTGGTCTACAGGCCACCTTTTGAGAGGTTCTGATTGAGATTTAGTGACTTGCCCAAGGGTTCAGGGCCAGGAAGTGATACTTTTGGACCAGGATTCCTGCCTCCCAGAACTGTGGCCCGAGCCTTGGTTTCTGCACTGAAAATAAGGGTGGCAGTTTCTTCCCAACTCCCTCCCTCTAGGCCCATTGTGAGGATAATCTGAGATAACGTAGGAGAAATCCCTTTTTAAAATGCAGAGCTGGCAGCATTGTTAACGATTATGCGAATACATGCAAATGAACACCCGTGGGCTTGGCTGTTCACTTTGGGAGCCCGCGCTGGGATGTGTGTTTCAAGATGTGGGTCGAGAGAGAACGTGGAAGAACTTCGGCAAGTTTAAGTTTGGGTTTTATAAAGGGCTGACCGACATGGAAGATGAGGGCCAGGGTAGGAATCTGGGAGACGGATGGGACCAGAGGCTTTTCTTTCTTTTTGGATTGTGTGTTCCCTATATCCAAGGGTCTCTGGTCACAGGGACTGACCAGGAGAGGGAAGCCCTGGTTTGTGCCTGGGCCCCAAAGGTGGAGCTAACCTCTTTGTTCTGCGACCTCTGGGTCAGCACCCTGGGAGATGCTGGCTCAGTCCCCCTTCCCAGCTCATTGGCTGGGAAGCCTTTTATGTTGTCTGGCCTCTGTTCCACCTCCCTAATGAAGCCCTTGCTGGGCAGAGACTTACTGAAGTCGGCTTCTTTCTTGATGAACCACCGCAGTTTGCACTTGCTGCGGGTGCAGCAGGAAGGCTAGAAGTGGGGTTTGAAGATCACCCACTGAGGAGGCTGTAGGGTCACCCTCAGCTGCTTTTCTCCCATTTTCCTCTTTGCCCTTCTGCCCCATTTGCATTCAGACCGTTCTGGGCAGGACTGCTGGCCCTGAGGTGAGACCTGGCTTGCAATGCTTCCTGAGGCTGGCTGTTTCCTGCACTCCCATTTCAAATCTGCTGAGACCCCGGGACTCTGGAGCTGCTTCTGTTCAGGAGTGCCATTGTTCTCCCTCCCCAGCATCCCTGGGAATTGATGCTAATTTCAGCCTCTGGTCCCTGACTCATTCTTTTTTCCTCCCTGACTCATAGGGTGACCTTGGATTTCTGAAGCCCCTCTCAGTGGGGAATTGTCCTCGCTGCCACTTCACCCCTACCCCAGTGTTAGGTGGGGCAGGGCAGGGCTGGGGGAAAGAGGGAGCAGGGAATGTTTAATTGCTTTCTTTAAAATCACCATCTAAAGTCAAGAGAGTTTTGTTTGCTTAGTGGCTGCCTGGGCCAGATTCGCCAGACTTCTAAGAAGTCTCTGGCTTCATCCCTGACCCCCAGCATTCCTGAGTGCAAAAGATGAGGGACTGTCCCCTCAGGCAGAGCGACCTGGAAGTGAGACCCCCTGGCCTCACCCCCACTGCTTGGGCTCTGGGGGAAGCTGCTGAGGGGCAGAGATAGGGGATGGGTACAGACACACATTGCCAGAGGTTCTCTTGGGCACCGCATCAGGGAGGCAGGGGTTAATCCTGCTTTGTCCTGGTTGATGGATTCTGGAATCATAATCCATTAGCTCTGCCTGAATGGAGTGAGGCCAGGCGAAGAGCATTCAGTCAGATTGGTCTTTGTTCTGTATCTTCAACATCCTTGCCAGGGACAGAGAGGCTGTGGACATGTACCTCCCCCCACCCTGTCCCCTTCCCGGCCATGACCAACCGATATAATGGAAGCATCTTGGGTGCTCTTTTGATTGCTCTTGACCCCACAGCTCACTGCTGGGGGAAATTGGAAGTCTCAGCTCTTGGTTATTCAGGCTATGAAACAGATCATCCCCAGAAAACCAAGCCGGGGGCTTGTACCTGCCTCAGTCTGCTGGGCCCCGGGCAGTGTAAACAAGTTTTCAGGGAACTGGCCCAGGGGAGGTGTGGGGAGATCAGAGGTAGGTCTCGATGGTGGTGTCAGAAAAAGGCCTGGGGTTAAACTTTGGGGGTATGTAAATTTAATACAGGCAGTGGCAAGAGCCCGGGATGAAACACCCTAGCTGCGATCCCACCCTTGTTGGAGAGAGTACCTATCTGTGGAAGACTGAGGCACCTTATCCAAGGGGGTCCTGCTCTTGTGACCAGGTAGGGGCGCCTAAGCAGACCGTCTGTGCCCACTCCCACAGGTTGCGCTACATGGTGAAGCAGCTGGAGAATGGGGAGGTAAACATTGAGGAGCTGAAGAAAAACTTGGAGTACACAGCTTCTCTGCTGGAGGCCGTCTACATAGATGAGACACGGTGAGAGACCCGCTCCCGCAGTAAGACACCTGGCAGACACAGTGATAGGGGTGGGTGGGAATAAGACAGAAGGCTGGAGATAGAGACCCGGGACAGGGCCAGAGCAGGGAAGAAGAGCTGTAGATGGAAATACCACAGAGATAAAGGGGCAGAGGAACAGACAGGGGGTTGCAGAGACCGAGACAAACACAGGCGTCAAGGAGGGAAGACCGTTTCAGAGCTGGAAGGGACCAGAAGGCTCAGGTAGTCCTAACTCTCTGGCCAGTGGGAATCCCTCAAGACCTGTGTGGCCCAGCATGGGAGCCACTGGTCTCATGTGGCTGCTGAGCCCAAGGATGAACCGAGACGTGGATTTGTGGGTGACACGCACGCTGGATTTCAAAACCGAGAGAAAGGAATGTAAAATCTCTCTCTACATTTTGTATTGACTTCACATTGAAATGATACTATTTTGGGTGTATTTGGTTAAAGAAAACTTATCATTAAAATGAATTTCACCCATCTGTTTTTACTTTTTTAATGTGGCTCCTAACCAATTTAGAATTACTTCTACGTGGCTTGCATTTTATTTCTGTGAGACAGTGCTGCTGGTCTCAGGCTCCCTGACAGGTGGCATCTCTTCCGTTTGCTGCCTGAGCACTTCTAGAGTTGTTGGGTCACTCACTACCTCACATAGTGGCCTGTTTCATTATGGGAGGCATCAGAGAGACAGAAATTAAAAACAACAACAACAACAACATGTAGTGAAAGAAAGGAAGGGGAAGGTCAGAGAAGGGAGAGACCTGGCCTGAGTGTTCCTGAGCTGTGGGGTGTGGCTGGGCCCAGCGTCCCTAGGTTGTGGAAGCACCTGCTGTCTTTCTTCTGTGACTCCCCTTCTGGGACCTCAGGCAAATCTTGGACACGGAGGATGAGCTGCAGGAGCTGCGGTCAGATGCTGTGCCTTCGGAGGTGCGGGACTGGCTGGCCTCGACCTTCACCCAGCAGGCCCGGGCCAAAGGCCGCCGCGCCGAGGAGAAGCCCAAGTTCCGGAGCATCGTGCATGCGGTGCAGGCTGGGATCTTCGTGGAACGGTGAGGCTTGCCCTTGCTCAGCCTCCATCTGCCTCTAGTTGCGTCCCCCTTTCCCAGACACTCGGGGCTTCTGGGACCCCACCAGAGCCCCAGTGGTGTTCCCCCCACCCCCATCCCCCAGAGCTCATCCCCATAGCCCCACCTGATCAAACCCCACTTCCCAGACCTTCACTGTGGGCTGCTTCTCATTGTTTGCCCTTAGGATGTTCCGGAGAACATATACCTCTGTGAGCCCCACCTATTCCACTGTGGTTCTCAACTGTCTCAAGGTGAGTGCTGGGTGTTTGGGAAAGAGGAGAAGGTTGGGGGAAGGAATGGTCACTGGGACTTTCAGATTCTTTGTGGGGTGGTTTTTGCCTTCCCTTTTAACTGTCATCCCCCTATTCCTCAAAACAACATTTTGCCCCCTCCAGAGGCAAACTCCTGTCTTTTTGTCTCCCCTGTGCTGGGAAGAAAAAGGCCCACGCTAGCATGTCTTTGTTTTCCTTTTTCCCAGATCTCAGTAAACATTGGGAAGTCCCCCTTGAAGTCTAACTGTAACCCTTGCTGCTGCTGGGAAGCTCCCCTTGGGAGTCTCCCTGCCTAGTCTGTTGTTTCTCCACAGAACCTGGACCTCTGGTGCTTTGATGTTTTTTCCTTGAACCGGGCAGCAGATGACCATGCCCTGAGGACCATTGTTTTTGAGTTACTGACTCGGCATAACCTCATCAGCCGCTTTAAGGTTGGGCAGCATCCTACCCCTGTTCCTGGGCAGGGCTCTCCACTCCCATCACTCCTGTTCTACAAGATTGCCAGCAAGCAGGTTCCACAGGCTCCCTCACTCAGTCTCACTGTCAGGGAAGTTTCCCTGTGCCCACCTGCCTAGTCTTTCTGTCACTTGTGCACCCCCAGCTTCTGACTTCATTTATTGCTTTCCAGAAGATTCTAGGTCTGTAACCCTCCAGCCTAGGATTCTGCTCTGTCCTGCTTTGCTTCTTCCCCATAACTTGTCCTCTTCAGGCTGGCTCGAAGTTCGCCTCCTGATTTCAGCTGTCCTGCCTCCTGCCTGTGGACACCCGAGGCCTAGAGTCCACATGCTGTCAGCCTGTGCCCTTGGGACTAGAATCTCTCCACTTGTTCTCTGGGATGGGGTGGGAGTGGAGAGGAAGGGATAAAACTGGTCACTCTTCCCCTCCCCCTCCCTAGTGTCTGTCTGAGGAGTTTTATGGAGAGGTTTGGCTCTTGGCAAGGCTGGATAGGACCTTATGAGGGGAGGCGAACTCCATTTGCTCTTCAGCTTGGCTGGCCATGAATATGGGATTAAAGTCCTTTCCAGATTCTGTGCCAGGAGGGAGTGTCTTTTGGGAATAGGGACTGGAAAAAAACCACTTCCATGTGGAAAAACCACACTTGGAAGTGGAGGGTGAAGGGGTTGAAGAGTCGCAATGGGAATATTTGGTCAGCATTTAGGTGGGGGGTGGACATAGATATTAGAGTAGAGGAAAACATGTCTGTTCTGAGGGGGCCCTGGGGGAGGTCAAGGGAGTCCAGTTGGAGGACCCTTTCTCAGAGGGCTTTGGAAGACCATGAAGCCATTCTCAGCCTCTACTTTATCATAATAGACTATTGGTGCCTGTGAACCTTTCCTCAACCTTTGACTCCTCATTTTACACCAACTCCCGAGAAGGTTTCCAGAACTTTCCCGAGATGCTCAGTTGTGATTTTTCCCTCAGTGCCTTCCTGAGGCCTCTCCTTCTGCAGCTTCATTATCATCTTTCCAGTCCTGCCCTTTCCAGGACAGCAAACAGCAGCGTCCTCCTTTTCCTAAGAATTTTCCAGCTCATATTTTTCCACAGTGGTTCTCAGACATTCTCCAGACACCAGCTTCTCTTAAACTCTGCTTCCTTTACCTGGAAGGACTGGTTTTGGAGGACCCCGAGAGTGAAAGTGTCAGGTTGGGTTTGGCCCAGCCCCAGTTCACCCTGCTCTGAGGCAGTTAGAGAGAGGGGGGCACTTCTTGCTTTGGTGTTTACTCATGGCAGGGATTCCTGTTGGAGCCACCCTTCTCAAGTTCCACATTCCCGTCTTGGGCACCCAGCCCCTCCCCTGTGTCCCTTCCCTTCCCTTCCCTCCGGGGACACCATGGCAACGCAGAAGCAAGGGCAGTTGTCATGGTAACAGTCCTTTAAAATTCCCTGAATTTGGGGCACAGCCCTTCGAGGTGGGGGTGGGAGATGTTAGGGTCTGACTGATCAGTGGTGTATCTTCTGTGTCTCATCACTACTGCTCATCTCTACAGAAGCTTCCCCAAGTCCTGCACCTTGCTCTCCTCACAGCCTCAGGAGATCCAGGGACTGGTGCAGGCACCAGCCTTGCCCTCTGGGAGCCTGAGCCTTTGAAGGAGGCAGGCAGACTGCAAGGGGATAGACAGAGACAACTGATAGGAGCTGGACAGAGCTCTGGCTCCTGGTGTCCCGCCGTGTGTGTCTTTGTGTGTGTTGGTGTGGGTACAGGGAAAGCCTTCTTAGAGGAGGGGATGACCCATGTCTGCCTGGAAGGATCCTCTCTAGGTCATCTTGCTCTTTCCCCTGCTTCTGAACCCCTTTCCATGGTACTGGATTGGGGATGGGATGGGGCGGTTGGAAGAAAGGAGGGAAGTTTGCTTTTCTTAAAAAGCTCCAGGGAAATAATTATAGCTACTCTTTAGAGAGTACTTACTAAGTGCTTTGTACTTATCTCATTACATTCAAGGAGGTGGTGTTATCTTCGTCCTGAGATTAAGTGTCAGAGGCATAAGATTTTAACCCAAGGTCACACAGCCAGCAGGTGGCGGAGCCAGGATGTGAGCCCAGGTCCACCCGACTGCAGCCGGTGCTTTCTCCCTAAGCCATTCTACCTTCTAAAGAAACATGGCATCGCTGATCTCAGTCCTCGGCTGCCTGCCTTTCCTGCACATACCCCCTGTATCTCGATTTTCTCCCTCCCACTTCAGATTCCCACTGTGTTTTTGATGACTTTCCTGGAGGCCCTGGAGACAGGCTATGGGAAGTACAAGAACCCTTACCACAACCAGATCCATGCAGCTGATGTGACCCAGACAGTCCATTGCTTCTTGCTCCGCACTGGGATGGTGGTAGGTGCCCAGAGATCATTCTGTGATTTAGGGTCTTCTGGCGCAGGACTGGGAAGTCTAGACTCTCCTCCCATTTCCCTTTGTCTCTCTTTGGTTCCTCTCCTTTGGTATTCCAGAGTCTTTACAGAGCCAAATTTTACTTACTCCAGAGAATTCCTGGTGGACCATAATGTCATGGGCAGTGCTGGGGGCGTGTGCTGGGATATAGTGGGAATGTTTCAGGTTGGGGTAAAGGGGCATATTTCACCATTCTGGGAGCTGAGAAACCTGGCCATCTTAGCCCAAGAGCTGGCCTTGAAGAGCAGAAGGGATGGGCTGAGTCGTATAGCCTGGGGCAGAGGTCTTTGGGCAGTGATGGGCAGGGTGAGGCCCTTTTCTCCCCCCCCCTCTCTCTGCCAGCATTGCCTATCGGAGATCGAGGTCTTAGCCATCATCTTCGCCGCAGCCATCCATGACTACGAGCACACAGGCACTACCAACAGCTTCCACATCCAGACCAAGTGAGGGGTGCCAGTGTGGCAGGGGCAGGAGGGGCCCAGCGTGGGTGGGGAGGCTGCCAGAGCCCTCACTTGCAGGGGCTGGATGCGATGACCCTTGGCTCTGCAGGTCAGAGTGTGCCATCCTGTACAACGACCGCTCAGTGCTGGAGAATCACCACATCAGCTCTGTCTTCCGAATGATGCAGGATGACGAGATGAACATCTTCATCAACCTCACCAAGGATGAGTTTGTGTGAGCTGAAGGCGGGAGTGGGCCTCCCGAAGAGACCTCCCTCCACTCCCCCCGACCCTCTCTTCCCATACGCTGGACCTCCGGCCCATCAGCCCTGTGGTGGGGGCTGATTGCTATCTGGTTCTGTCCATCCAGAGAGCTCCGGGCCCTGGTCATCGAGATGGTGTTGGCCACCGACATGTCCTGCCATTTCCAGCAAGTGAAGTGCATGAAGACAGCCTTGCAGCAGCTGGAGAGGTGGCATTGGGGGGAGTGGCTGGGTCATGGCCAGAGTGGGGGCTGTGAGAATTGGGGGCACGTACGTGGGTAGCCGGTGTGCCAGGCCTTTACCTGGGTGGAGACACTCTCCTGGTTCCAGGTGCCTGAGCCCATCTCCACAGTGTGTGTGTGTGTGTGTGTGTGTGTGTCTTGTGTGCGCGCGAGAGAGACGTGTGCACACGGGCCCAGGTTTGCATCTGGGGCACTGTGGGAGGGCACATCGGGCCAGGAATCTGAAATGTACAGTTTTGCTATGGGACAGCCTGACCCTGCAATGTTGGGAAAACCTTCCAACGTTTTTGGATTCGGTTCCTTATTGTGCCATGTGAGAACGAGAGGCCTCCCCGCCACAGCTCGCCGCCACTTCCAACACCAGTAGGGCTAGCCAGAGAGTCATGTGAGGTTAGAGGAAAAAAGCACAGAGCAAATGCCTCGATGACATTGAATGTGGCTTAGAAATAGGTGGGAGAATACAACTGTGTGTAAGAGAGAGGAGACTATGTGTGGGGGGGTCCCCAGGGTGTGTGTTCATGTCCAGTGTCTCTGGGGGACAGTATGCAGTGTGGCATTGTTGGGGAATAATGACAATACTTATGATGATGAGGATGATGGAGATTATAGATAACATCTACTCTCAGCACCGTGGGCCAGACACTGTACTAAATACTTTTGTGTTGTGTGTCATTGAATTTTCAGAACCCTATGTGGCAGATTCTGTTCCTATTTCCTGTTAGGATTGAGGAAAGTGGAATATGAACATTTTAAATAACTTGCTCTGTGTCACACAGCTAGTGTGTGATACGTACAGTGGGGATTTGAACCTGTGCCCCCTGATTCTCAGCGCTTGGCCTGGTTCCACCTATATAGGCGTGTGTATGTGTTTGCGTGTGTGTGCGTGCATGTTGCCCCAGAGGGTGGCTGAAATTCCCTGCAAGGATCCCAGGGCTTGTGATGGGAAGTTAGGAATGGTCCAGTTTTTCTCCTAAAAAGATGAGTCTCCCCTTCCCTTGCCGCCCGCTCTGACCAGGATTGACAAGTCCAAGGCCCTGTCTCTGCTGCTCCATGCTGCCGACATCAGCCACCCAACCAAGCAGTGGTCGGTCCACAGCCGCTGGACCAAGGCCCTTATGGAGGAGTTCTTCCGTCAGGTAGCGGGGCGTCTTCACCCATGCCTGCCCCCCTTCCCCTTGTTCTCCAGGCTCCCACTCCACTTCCAGATCTTCATTCAGCTCCCTGTAGCTTCTGACCTGATACCGAAGCCCTGGGAACAGAGGTCATTTTCCTAAAAGCTTAACCGTGGTAGCATTGCATTTGTGTATCGTCCATTTCCAGGTCAAAGGCACCAAGATGCCTCTTTTCCCACAATAACCCCTGACCTCCCCCAGCTGCACCCCAGAGTGGGGGTGGTCTGAGGCAAGCCTCACAGGAAAGCCTCCAGCTTTCCCACCTTGTCTTCTCCCCAGGGTGACAAAGAGGCAGAGCTGGGGCTGCCCTTTTCTCCGCTGTGTGATCGCACTTCCACTCTGGTGGCACAGTCGCAGATTGGTGAGTGGCCTCGCCCATTGGGAGGAGAGTCCTGACAAGGGGACAGGATGCTTTCTGGGCTGGGGCCAGGCCTCTCCGAGTTGCCATCCCTTAAAACCAGTCTTCCTGTGGAGTAAGCTTGTGCTGGGGCCTGGGGTCCTGGGTGGAAGGCCTGGGGGTGCAAAAGTGGGGTCACAAAGACATCGTTGCAAAGGCTGCCCCCTCTGGGAATTTCTCAGCCTGGGTCACCCTGTCTTACCCGCAGCCAGGGGTTCCATCCACACAGGCGCCTCTGCCCAGCCCTCTGTGTGTGTGGGGGGAACTCTCCATCGTGTTCCCCCTTTACTGCAGGTTTCATCGACTTCATCGTGGAGCCAACCTTCTCTGTGCTGACTGATGTGGCCGAGAAGAGCGTCCAGCCCCTGGCGGATGAGGACTCAAAGTCTAAGAGCCAGCCCAGGTGAGGGTGGCTGGGGCAGCTCTGTCTCCTGGTTCTGGGGGAGGGATGAGGGACTCTCAGAGAGCACCGATCGAAGGGAGGAGGTACAGCCATGGTGGGCCGGTGGAGAAACTTGGCTACCCAAAGCTTGGGACTCTCTGTTGCCTGTCACACAAAGGGGTGAGAGGATGGGGCCAGAATGCTGTGACCTGCACCTGTGGTCCCCTCCAGCCATTTTTGTTCGCTCTGTCTTTATTGCCGTTTTGCTAATGTTGTTTTTATTTTCCTTCCAGTAGCAGGGAGGGTGTGGAGAGGAAGGGGTGAAACTGTAGGAAAAGGGGCAGGGAATTGGGGGTACCCAGCAGTGGGAAAGGGGGAGGATAAGTCTCCCTAAGCTTCCTCCTGGTCTTCCATCCCTGCCACTCTGAGGGCTGTGAAGGCAGTTCTGGAGTGGGCTGGGTCTCACCTCTGGAGTCGGGGTGGGGGGCTGCTTTAGTTCCCAGTGGCGCCAACCCTCTCTGGATGTGGAAGTAGGAGACCCCAACCCTGATGTGGTCAGCTTCCGCTCTACCTGGACCAAATACATTCAGGAGAACAAGCAGAAATGGAAGGAACGGGCAGCAAGTGGTGGGTGCTGTTGGACCCAGGGGGTGGGGTGGGGTGAGGGTGAGGCCTTGTGGGGAGGGTGGCTGATGGAGCCAGAGCAGGTCTACTTTCTTTAAACCCCTGGAGCAACCCTTTGTTTGACTCCCAGAGTTGAGAATGGAGCTGATCAGACTAAAGTAAGATGATAGGAAAGAGTGTCAAGCTGATTGGCCTGGACTGTTCTAGAACAGGGACAGGAGAGAAGATAGGAACAGCCATATTCCACAGCCCAAAGGACCCCATGCATGTTGTGGTCTGTAAATGGTGCCCCAGTAGATCTGGGTGACTTGGTGGCCTTGGCTGGGAAATCTCTTTTCTTTAGGTGTGAGTTGACGGTTATAAATTTTAGCAAGGCTGGGAAAGAATGCTGGGGAGGCTCTTCCTAAGTTGTCATGTGTTGAATGCAGCTCATCTTGAAGGCAGGAGGATGCATGAGAATCCTTTACTTTTCTCCACGTGCTCCTGGCATTTTGGGGAAAAATATTTCTTGTCTGGGTCCCAACTTCCTAAATGCCCCCCTGCAGGTGTCACCAACCAGATGTCCATTGATGAACTGTCCCCCTGTGAGGAAGAGGCCCTGCCCTCCCCCGCTGAGGATGAACACAACCAGAATGGGAATCTGGACTAGCCTGGGGCTGGCCCATGTGAGCCTGTGTGCTGGAGGCGGGAGGGTCTGGAGAGTCTGTAGGGAGTAGAGAGAGCTGGGTGTCCAACATGGAGTCTCTGAAGGGTCATGTCTGGGATTCTGTGGATGCGAGGTTCTTCCTAGCTCTTCTGAGGGAGGAAAATGGAGAAGTGAACACATACTTGAGCCAGGGCCCGAGTTGGAAGCAGGGAAATCTTTCCACCCCTTCTGTCCATTCCCTGCAGGAAGGAGGTAGCTCCTCAGAACAGGGAGGGCCTAAGCAAGGCTTCAGCACCTTTGTGAGGGCTCGGGAACAGGGCCCAGCCAGGGCACAGGATTCTGCGAGGTCGGTTGGGCGTGGCTTCCAGAGCAGCCCCCTGCTCAAACGCTTGGCTGGGCACCCTGTGCAGGCATTGTTGGCACAACTGTGTGTGGGACTGGGGTAGGGGGTGGGTCTGGCGGGCCTTGGAGAAGGTAAATCAGGCTGGAGATAAGGCAAAGATCGGAGCACTGAGGCCTCTCCCTCTTTCCCAGGTCCTCAATGCGTCCAAAGTGTTCAATGTCATCAGCACCATTCATCAGGACCGGCTCCCCCATCTGCTCCAAGGGAGCACGGAGGTTGAGGAACAGACAACCCACCCTAAGGCCAAATGCCAGAGATTGTGGGGTTGGGGGAAGGGCCCCTCCCCACCTGACACCCATTGGGGCGCACTTTAATTTCCCAGCAGCAAGTCTGGGAAACTTCAGGCTCCCAATGGTCACTGTGCCCATTCCCCTGCCTCTGGACTCCGCCCCCCACCCCTATAGCCAGTTGGCTGGCTGGGAGAGGGGAGCTTCTTGGAGGCCTCCCAGGGCCCAGGGGGGAGGGTCAGAGATGCCAGCCCCTGGGCCCTCCCCCATCCTTTTTTGCCTCCAAGTTTCTAAGCAATACATTTTAGGGGGTTCCCTCAGCCCCCCCAGATCTTAGCTGGCAGGTCTGGGTCCCCCTTTTCCTCCCCTGGGAGGAGCTGGAATAGGATAGAAAGCTGGGGGTTTTCAGAGCCCTGTGTGTGGAGAGGGGAGTGGGCTCCTTCAGGGCATGGGATCTTTCTAGGGCCTGGGAATGCAGGGGGTGTTCTCTTTACCCCAGACCTACACTGCTTTAGCACCATCCCCAGACCCCCTCCGCATCCCAATCTTCCTTCCCTCCCATTCTGAAATGTGGACTGGGGGAAGAGAGGAGGCCTTCCCTGGGGTCCTCAAGAACTTGGGATTGGTCTAGGCCCCTGGGGCTTGTCACCTACCCTGACTGTCCTGAGCCCTTTGCCTCCTTCCTCTCCTCTCGGGCTGGGAGGCTCCCATCCGACCAATGTCTGTAAAGTGCTCTGAGGTCTCCCCAGCAAAGCACCTTTAGGATGCATTTTATGAGCAAAGGCAGGAGAGACCAGCTGGGTTGGGGCCAAGGGTGCACGGGGAGGGTGAGGTGTAATCCAGAAAGCCTGCAGTGTTCTCAGAAGGCCACTCCCTGCCCTCCCCCTTCCAGCACCTGCCCAGCCGCTACCGGCACCAAGAGGCCCCTCCCCTGGGACAAGTTCGGGAGTGGTGGGTAGAAGGCAGATGGAAGGGACTCAGGGCTGCTGCTGTTGTGCTTCCTAAAGAGAGCCTGCCAGGCCCTGTGTCCCTTCTTCTCAGGCTCTCTGAGCAGCCTTGTCCCAGGAAAGGCCTAAGTCCAGGTGACTGCCCTCCTCTTATCTTGTAAATACCAACCATGCATTTGTACAGTGGGCCCTGTTCCTGTGAAGTCCATATCCATGGCCCCCCACCCCCCCCCCCTTCCCACTTCCCCCCCCCCCCCCCCCCCCCGCAAGTGGGGCAGAGACGCATGTGACTCACCCCTGCCCTTGGTCTCCCAGAACCCTGCTATAGCCAGAGATCAATAAAGAAGGGAGACCAGGCCTGGTTGTGTTTCGTGTTCACTGGATGGAAGCATCTTCATGTATACTGTCTCTGTGAAGCTCGAAAAAATCCTGGTGTGGTGTTCTCCCTATTGTGTATGTGGGTGGGGATGCTGCCCCCCCCCCCCCGCCCCCAGGTGAGGTCTTGCCTGAGGGCACACAGTAGGGACTGCTGAGGCTCTCGCTGCCAAAGTGCTTCTTCTGTAAGGAAGGGCGATTCTTGCCTTTCCTCCTCCCCTCCCCACTCCACCACCTGGAAAAATCAAAAGCAGTGGGCAGGAGAGGCCTGGCTGGCCAGGGAAGTTTCTTCCCCTGTTCTGGGTTTTTGTCTTTTGCCCTGGCCCCTCCGTGTCTTAGACCAGGGAGAGAGAGGCTCCCCAGCCAGGGCCTCTTCGTTAACAGCCATTGTGTTCTCAATCCAGCTTTGCTATCGGGTTGGAATAGGGGTGGTGGTCTCCTCATCGCTGGAGGAGGGATCACATCCTGAAGCCTGGGAATCACTGAGGCTTGGAGGGCAGGCAAGGAGGCATCCACACAACACAGCAACCCCTTTCCCTTGGGCCAAGGGCTAGGATGCAGTTCCCCCTTTTGCCCAGCAGACGGCGGCCACAGCACAGGCACAGCTGGATGGGCTGTAGAACTCCAAGTCTCAGCTTTGGGACAATCCTACGGGGGGGGGGGGGGGGGGGGGGGGGCGGGGCTGGTATCTTTCCCTCAATTAAGAGAAGAGAACCCAGAATCCAGGCCTTTCCTTCCTTCTTGGTGCCCTGGAAGTTAGTCCTTACACCTGTCTGACCCCCCATCTCTCTTGCCACAGCAAGTAGGGGCAGGGTTGGGGGGGAGAATTTCCCCCATCCCCCAAGGCTCTGGCCCAGCTTCTCTATTTCCTCCTTTCCAGAGGAGCTGGGCAGAAGGAGAGGGGGCTGCAGAGAGGGCAGGACAAGAAGGGAGGGAAAGAGGATTCTCCATGCCGGGAAAGAAGGAAAATGCCAAGGACCTAACACCAAATTTATCACTTTTTAAAAACAAGAGATTTTCCCCAAAAGTGGAGAGTAAGAAACAGATCCAGTGTCCATGCATTCCCAACCGCAGTCTCCATTGCAGGATTAACTCCTCCACTCTCAGACCTGTTGTGGGGGAGGGGCAGAAAGAGAGGGCGAGTGAGAGACCAGAGGGCCTACTGTCCCCACCCTTGCTGCGCTGCCCATCATCAAGCGTCTAACCTCTGATGTCTGACACCAGTCCCCCCAACTTGTCCAGCTTCATGCAGGGGAGGGGGGAACTGGAAAAATCAAAGCCCACAAGGCTCTCTCAATGCCTCCACTCTAGGCAGGACTACTGCTCACACAGCCTGGACAGACACCCAGTACAGAGCCAAACCTCACTCCTTTGTCCTGTAGCTTAATCCCATTTCTCTTTGTCCATGGATACATAATACCCCCAAATCTTCTTGCCTGAGACAAGAGCTTTTCAGTGACTGAAGCTGGTCCTTTGTTCCCCCTTTTCCTGATTCCAGATCTTCATCCTTGCCCTTATCTACGCAGCCTGCTCTCCTGCAGATGGGGGCGCCCAGCCCTGGGCTCTTACCGAGTTGGCTCCCTGGGAATCCAATGGTGGTATATGGGTTGTGGGTTCCTCTTTGCTGGGTTTCTCACTGCCCCTCTCCTGAGCTTTAGGGATGGGTTCTGCAGGCTCTAAGGAGGGAAAATGGGTGGTGGGAGGGAAAGGCAGTATTCATGAATTCTGGTAGAGGTTGCTGCTCCTCTTACCCCATCTGATACTCCAGTGACCCCTGAGAGGGGCCCAAGACCAGGAGGGGGGCAATCAGATAAAACCCGTGGTGTGTTCTCTGATCACAGCTATGACTACAGGACCATTTTTCTTTTTTTATTTGCCATCAGAAATTAAAAACAAACAAACAAACAAACAAACAAAAAAACCAAAGGAAAGTTAAAACAAGTTTGGGTACAATTTGGCTAAACCTGACCTTGTATGGGACTATTGATGGTCTTCATTGATGTCATTTAGTGGGACCCTTCAGTTCACTGCAGAACTATTACCGTGTTTGATTACAGGGTGCTCCGCTGGGTAGTATGTAATACACAGTACATGTACAATGTCACCTTCGTGTAACTGGAAGAACTCTGGATTCTGGAATCCATGTGGGATAAGGGACTGCGGACACGTGTTAACAGCACTTCCATTTACTGCAAGCTTTGTATGTGTCAGCTGCTGGGCTAAGAACCGGTCTTATTCCATTTTCACAAACAACCCAAGGCCAGAGGCATTGTAATTATCATTTTACAGACCGAGGGCAGTGAAAACAAACAAAACAAAACTGCTGGTGGAATGACAGAGCCCAGGTTCCAGCCTGTGAGTGTGGGTCCCTTGTTGGTGGGCTCGAACCACCCAGCAGGGAGCCCCCCCCCAACTCCGTCCAAGCAGGGAGGGGCTGGGATCATTCAGTGAGGCAAGGTGAACAGAGGCAAACACGTGTGGTCCATATAAATGGATCCATATTCTTAGGGCAGTTTCTGGCTATGATGAGACCCCTCCCCATGATGGGTAAGGTCTGCCTCCTCCTGGGCCAGTCCCTCCCCAGCCTGAACGTACTTTGTGCTCTCCCAGACGAGCCCAGCCTTAACTCCGCTTCTGTGTCTTTCATCCCAGGTGGGCAGGACTCCTGGGCCCCTGTGCTCTCAGCTGCTCCCTCGGGTTCCTCTCCCTGCTGCTGTTGCCCCAGGTGATGTTCAACCATCATCTGGAGCTCTGGGGGCACAGAGAAAGGGAGGGATGTGACAGCTCAGAGTCTCCTCTGTGGACTGTCCTATTCCATAGCCCCATGGAAGGGCTGGTGGCTCCTGTGTGACTTTTCCACCTTCTGAGACCTGAATGGGGTGGGGGTAGGGGATATTTGCTGGGCACCAGGGAGGGCCTAAAGGTACACAATAAAACATATTTCCTTCGAAAGGAAGGGAGGGAAGGGGCAGGGCCTTCAGGAACCATAGATCTTCCTAACTGGCTGAGTTACTTGATCTCCTGTGGGGGGAAAGAGGAAAGACTCCATTTAGATTCAGGAAATACTTGAGAACCTTCCGTGTGGTGAGCACTCATAGTCTCTTTAGCTGCCATAGTGAGGTGGTGCTCAGGGCTCAGTGGGTGAAGCAGGTTCTCCCAGGCCTCCCAGCTAGTTGGAGGCAGAGCTGGAACCCAGCCCAGACTGTCTAGCAGCAATTCGATTATAATAAAGGCGAGTTTAAGGACTTCCCAAGGATTCCCTCCAAAAAGGGGTCATTAGGTCTACTGCTCAGTCTTAGGCACAGAGGGGAAGAAAGGGATGGGAAGGTGGGGGGTCTTCCTAACCTTTCATTGTGGGTGTGGTCCTTGTCACCTTCTTCCGTTGTCGTGGAGACATGGCCAACGTGGACTGTGAAGGACACAGAGCATAGGTGGGGGGGCCAGCCCTTCTCCCCTGCCTTCTGTGCCTTGCCATGCTTTTGGATTAGAGATTGGGGGTCAGCTATGGTCTTCAGAAAGTGAGGGGAGAAATATCCTGCTTCCTAGGGTGCTCCCCTCCCCCACACAGTGGTGAGCAAGGAGACTGGGTATGGGGGATATGGTGTGTGTGTATGTGTATGTGTGTGTCCGCTCATATTCACTTGGAGGCAGAGGAGAGGGAGTCAAAAGGCCTTACAGATTGGGGGGGGGGTCTGAGGAATAATCCTCTGAAGAAACTCTGGGTTCTCTGGGCTGGGCTGAGCGAGAGGGACCGGCTCACCTTGAGAAGCGGGTTGGGAATCCGGTCTTCATCTATCTCTGAGGGGAACAGGGAAAGGAGAATGTGAAGAGGACTGAAAACCCAGGGGTCCCTATGGAGCTGACTTCCCAAGGGGAGGAGCCTTGGCAGTCACCGGCTTTCTGATCTGTCCCTCACTTCTGCCCTAGGAAGCTGGCCCTGATGGCTGCCCCAGGTGCGCTCCCTTTGGCTCCTTCCTGCCCTGCTTTCTTCCCTGCACGGAGTCCTGTTGTTGACTCTGTGGTCAGTCTGTGTCTACATCCTTGCCTTGGACCTGCAGTTTCCTGAAGTAGAATCCTTGGTCCTTTGGCTCTTTTCCTCCATCTCCTCCCAACCATTGCCCCCCTGACCCAGGACCAGAACTGAATCCTGCACGGGAGGGAAGACCGGATAAAGGAGAGCAAGTTTCCCCTGTGCAGGGAGGTACAACAACCCTTTTTGGTAGTTGGGTGCAGGCTGGAGACTCCAGCCTCTTGAACTCCAGGCTCACTTATGAGCATGACGGCCTCTCTGCCACTGTCCTGGCAAGCTCCCCTGATATTCTCAAACACCTGGTTCTCTCTGCAGACCTTGCTGGGCACATGGGTGACCGGAATGCCAGCTGCTCCCTGAGCTGTGTCTAACCTTCCCCTTCCCCTGTGGGGGCCGGGAAGATGGCTGATGGAGAAGGTCCCTCCCCCTCACAGCTGTCACTGCCTCTGGGGGTGGGGGGCCTGCAGCATCTCAGTTGCTGGAGCAATCTGGAAGGCTGTTGCCGCGGCAACCAGCACTCAGTTGACCACCCCAATTCCTGGGGGGCTTAGGAGCCAGGTGCTTTCCCTCCCCTTCCCCAGAGCTGCTCCATCTTGCCAAAGCAAAGGAAATGCTCCTGCTAATACAGCTACCACTTTCCGGACTCTGATCCCCGGGGGGCTGCGGAGCTAGCTCTCTGAATCCTTGGATCTGCCCTTGTTCTCTCTAGTGCCCGCCTGCTCTCACTGGACCTGGCTGTCCACAGCAGCACCCATGCCCTTCAACGACCCATCCCTGGGGTTACCTGGGGAGGACTGGTCACTGGTCAGCACGAGGGTAGCAGGGGTGGGGCGGCGCCTCCGAATCTGAGGGAAGAGGTCAAGTGCAGGTGGAAGCATCGAAGCCCCACCCAATACCACTCAGCAACATAATCCAGGCTCCTGGCTTAATACATCTCAAAAAATGCCACATTACACTGAACCTACCATCCCAAGATGGACATTCTCGGGCCCATCCCTCTCCCTTGGGGACCCAAAAGACCCCCAACCCCTTTCTGTTTTTGCATCTCCCTCGTAATCCATCTTAGCAGCTGAATCTGCTCTCATGCATTGATCTCTGGCTGGCTGTCCTTCCGTCCATCCTGATCAATGGTCAGAAATAACCCTGGAGGACCAAGGCTCTTCCCTCAGTGTTCCAGCCCACAGCCCCAGACAGACATTAACCTTTAGTGCGCTGGCATCAATGGAAAGCACCCCTTGGTCCCCACCCAGGCTGGGGGAATGGCACAGGGAAGGTAGGGCTGAAGGTGCCTTCTCCTGGCCAACGCCCATGCCTTGGCTCATTGTCCAAAGTCCTCCCTATCCTTGGGCACACTGCCTTTATAATTTGTCAGGAAATGCGGTCTGGGAAAATCCTTGTCATGGTAAATAAAATACTAGCAGGAGCCAGAGGCAGGAGTCTAATCAGGGCCTAAAGTTACCTGAAAAATCTTATCCTGGGCTCCAGGGTCCCATTCTAAGAAATTAACATATAAAAGCAGACTGCCGGCAGGGTGGTTGCTGTTCCTCTGCCTTGCGGCCAATAAAGTTGATTGTTGTTGAAGTCAGTCCAAGGACTCCTGGGACGTGTGGGTTTTTTCCCTTTCTCTGGAGGGTTTAGAGGCTTAGAAGCGAGGGGTCTCATGGGGCTGGAGAGTTCCCGTAGCTCCCTCCAGGGCAGGAGAGAGGAGGGAAGTCTAAAGGGACTGGGAAAGGGGCTAAAATTATCCAGGGCTGAGGGCAGTAGGGTGAGGATACTGAAGGATCAACTTCCTATCTTCTGTGTCCATTATGTAGCATCAATACCATTGGGGGTGGGGTAAGACGCCCGCCCTTCTCTATGCCCAGAAATGGATTTCAGCCCTTGCAAGAGGTTAGTCTGAGAGGGGGACTCTCCCCAAAGAAATGGGATGCGTCCAATGGGGGCATGTGGGGGTAGGTCACTGTTTCTCTGGAGATTCCAGCGACATCTGTTTGGGGTGACATTTCAAGGTCCCTGGCAGTACCAGTCCTCTGTGTGTGTGTGTGCGCGCGCGCGTGCACATGCACGTGTGCGCGTGCACGTGTGCGCGTGCATATACATATAGGCACTACACAAACATCAGTTGTGAGTCTGACTGGCCGTTCCTGAGGCAGAGGGGCTGGGCGCCAGCAGGCCGGCATGTGGGCTTCACATCTGCAGGGTGAGGGGAATCCCTTCCCCAGGGAGGACTCCTCTTTATGTCTTTCCTGCTGTGGGTGGAGGGGGGATGCTGGCTGTGGAGGAGTCAGAGACACAGGGAGAGGATGGGGATGTTAGTGGAAGTTGCAAGGCTGAGAAGGGACCACAAGGAGGACAGAAAGGGCCTCTGAGAGGGCAGCAGGGCTCTGCGATGTTGGACAGGCTCCTTCCTTAGCCCATTTCCTTGCCTTGGATAAGATTTCTAGGCACTCAGAGTCTTTGAGAATTTTGATATCATATAGCTGAAGGGAATCAAGTCAGCCTTCCCAAAGCACCTTCCAGGCACCTGAACTACTAGGTAACAAATAGATGGTCTCTCTTCTTTCTCTTGCACCTATCTTCAATCCCAGTGTTCAAGGACACCTGGTGCCTTTGCCTCTGATTTGCTGCCAAACCAGTCATGCCAAAGACCTGGTAGCTGTGGGCACCCCTCCACCCGCTGCCGTTCTGTGCTCCATAACTCATAGCTTCTAACCTCTTTTGCTCTCCCATGTCAGCCTGGATTAGGAGCTCCTGCCACGCCTGGAGCTTCTGGCTGGATTGGGTAACACACTTGGGTGACCCAGCTAGAGGGGCCGAGTTAGACTGCAGGTAGAATTTCAGGTCTAGTGGACACCAATTTCGGAATATTAGAGAAAAGCAGGTGGAAGTCCCAGTTCTTTTTTTCCCTCTGGCTCCTTACCACTGTCTTCTCCTCCTCTGTTTCCTGACCCCTGAACAAGCTGGCCTACCCTCTCCTCCTCCCAACACACACTGACACCTGCCTTCTCCAACACCAAACAGATGCAGGTGTCAGGCTGTGAGACCTGTCTATGCTGGTGGAAGGCAATCCTTTTTGGCACCTCACCCTTAACCCCACCAGCCCACAGTCATGGGCCCTTTTTTGAGTCCGAGGTTATCTTAGCCAGCCCCCTGCCTCCAGGCGTAACAGCCTTGCCCTTGACTCTGGGGAAACACTCCCCAAGCTCAGGCTCTCCACCCTCCTCATCCTCACCAGGCCTGAGGTCTCCCCACAGTTCCTCCTACTGCCACCCCTTCCAGGTCTGGAGAAGCGGCTCAGCCCCGGCCAGGGAGAGGGGAGAGGTGCAGGTTCTCATCCCTACCCACACTTTGGGAAGCTGAAGTCACAGGGAGAGTGTGTGTACTGACCCCTCCCTTCACACCCTGACCTTATTCCACCAAACAGCTGGAGCAAGCCAGAGGACACTCTCCATCCCATCCCAAGAGGCTACAGAGTTTTTTCAGGTGGGGAGGCCCAGCCAGAGTCCTGGGAGCCATTTGGGGGAAATGGAGAACTGACCTTGTGGCCAATGGATATTCCTTAGGAATGGGGATGTCCAGGGAAATGGACAGAGAACACAAAGAGATGGAGCAATGAGCAAATGAACAAATATTTCGAAAACAGGCGGTAGTAGTGACCACAGGGGGTCACCGTCTCCACACAAATGCTCACTCTCCCTGAGACACACACTTGCTCACACACTCTCATCCACTACCGCCTCTGCCAGGCGGCTCAGAGCTAAAAATAGACCAGGCCCTGGGCTGGGCCAGGGCCTTGGACTCCCACCCCTTGAGCCAAGGCCAGCACAGGACTGCTCCCCTGAGCCTGGGGTTCCTTGCACCCAGCCCCCAGAAACCCCTGCCTCTGGTTTCCCTGGGCCCATCTCTCCATGCCATCCCCATTCCCTGTGCTCCAAAGGGCAGGAGTTGGGAATAGGAACCCACGTGTCCAGACTTGCAGAAGAGGGGACCCTCAGCCTGTGGACCCGACCACCCTTTCCCCAAAGCCCCAGCCCTTTCAGTTTTCCTGAGCTCCTTCTTGTTCTCACTCTCTGGAGTCAGGCAAGGTAGCCTTTGGTTAGGGGAGGACCCGGAGGGCTATTTCTCTTCTTTCAACTCCTTTGACAGCACCAGGCTCCCCTCCATTACCTACCTTTTCCCCGAACCCCTCCCGCAAGGCTGCCGGTACCCTTCGGCGCCCCCACCGAGCTCAGAAACTCTGGCAGGGGCTGACTGGGTGGGGGATGCAAGACTGGCGAAGGGGGGAGGGGTCGTGTCCTCATGCAGGCCCCCTCCCCCAGGGCTGGGGAGGCAAAGAGCGACCCTCTGCAGGGACAGGCTTCGAGGGGAGGCGCTCGCCTTAGCACAGACAGGAAGATGTGGCTCCAGCGGTGGGGGAGGGGAGAGAAGACCCCCAAACTGAGTGCGGTCGCCCTCACAGGGGCGCACTGCCAAGGGCAGACGAAGAAGGTTTCTCAGATCCCACAGCCCAGGGGTCCCTCGTCCTTTGCTGGGCGAGTCCCCGGCCACCCCGCCCTGCTCCGCACCTGCTCCGCCGCCTCGGGGTCAAGGTGCGGCTCCAGCAGCGGGACGGTGAACTGGATCTTCCGCGGGCTGTTGTCTTGTTCCATGGCTGGGGCGGCGGCCGCTGGGCCGGCGCTGCGGCGGGAGGGCAGGCGGCGGGACTCGGGGCTGGGGCGGGCGCTCTCCCTCTCTGCTCCACTCGGCTCGGGCCCCGGCCCCAGCCCGGCGCGCTCAGCTCCCGGTTCCCGGCACAGCGCTCCCTGCTCTCGGCCCCGCGGACTCTGCAGCCGCCGATTGGCTCCGCACCCGCCCCTCCCGGCCCCCTCCCCCTCCCCCAGCCCGGAACCTTAACCCCGTCGTGGCTGCTCCGCCCGCTGCGGGGGTCTCCACCCCGCGGGCGGGCGAGCCGGGTGTGGCCGGGTCCGGGTCGTGGTCGGCGGTCCCTGCCGGCATCTAGGTGTCTTCAGAGATCCGGGCAGGGAGTGGGGGTGGGGAGCGGGACGGAGAACTTCTTCAGGCTGGGACAGGTTTTATGAGTGGGAAGGTAGAGAGGGGCGCTGCCAAGAGGAGGCGGCAAACGCGAGAGGAAGATTTCATTTATGATCTTAAAACGGGTTGTCTCATAGAGCGAGGAAGGAAAGGGGATTTAGGCATGCAGCAGGAGGGATGAAGGCTAGATACGGAGAGGGACTTTCCCTGGAGAGGAAAACACTAGGACGAAGGTGAAAACTTGGAGGGGAGGGGTGCGGTCCGGGCGCTGGCAGTTCCCTCGGCCCAGCGGGAGGGAAAACTGAAGACCTTAAAGGGTCTCCAGAGGCCAGAGCCTCTCTCTCTTGAAGTGCCGATGGGAGTGGGTGGAGGGCTCTAGGAGAGAGGACCATCTGGGAATCGGCAGACGGAGCGTTGGGGGTGGGGAGCCGATAATGCTTGTGAAATAGATTTCTCTTTCTGCTTGCTAAACTGTGAGGCTGGGAAAGCAGGTGAAAGGCCTGCAAGGGGAGAAGGCTGGGGGATGGAGGGGGGAACTCCTGGTGGGGTGGCTTGTTTACAGCTGGGGTTGGTTTCGGATTCCGCTACTGGCAGGGTGATGAAAATGATCTGCTGTAACTGAAGGGATGGAGGTTAGACTCGCTGAAGAACTTACTACGTTGGTATATGACCAGAAGTCAGTCAATACCTGTGAGTGAGGCAGATAGGTTATTCCTAGGATCTGGTGGGTACCATGCCAGGGTCTGGGGGCAATTGGATAGAGGGAGGAGAGGTGCTGTGGCCCTGGGGCAGGGCAGGGCTGGGTGCATCACTGCGGGAGGAGAAGGACTGGAGGTAGGGAGAAGGGACAGGGAGTTCTGGGGGAGGGGCTGGGCCAGGGCCAGGGCCAGGGCCAGAGATCTGTTTCTTTAGCCTTAGGACCAGCAACTGGCAAGCTCCACATAGATTAATGCTTGGTTCTCTGGGGTCCCTATGATCACACTCTCCTCTGAGGGCTCAGCCTTACTTCCTAGTTGCCTCCTCTCTTGGGCAGCGCTTCCCTGACCTGGATATCAAGGCCTTTTCCCCTTTTACCTCCCAAAATAACCTCCCCTGTCCTCCCCGCTAGCCATATCTCTTTACACACGTCAGGCCCAGCTCGGTTTTCTCAGGGCAGGCCTGGGGTTATAGGGACTCAGTGGGCCAGCCAGACCTCCATTTGCATGTTAACCGACCCCATTTTGCTGTCACCTGGACTCTAGAAATGACCCCCTACACTCAGTCTGCACTTGTTAGGTCCCTCTGATTCTTTTTAAAAACGTTTCCTCTCCCGTTTTATTGAAAAACAAGCAACATACATCACTGTATAAATTGAAGGCACACAGCACCACAGTTTAACTGACATATATTGTGACATGAAGACCACAATAAGTTCAGCAACACTCATCTTCTCATAAGATACAGAAACAAAGAAAAAGAAAGAAAGAAGAGAAAAAAAGGGGGAAAAATTCTTTGGGATGAGAACTCAGGAGTTAACTCTGTTAGTAACTTTCCTGTGTAACACACATTGGTGTTAGTTTCCGTCATCATGCTGTACAGGACACCCCAGCACACATTCATCTTAGATCTGGAGTTTGTACCTTTTGACTACCTTCCTTCATTTTCCCCTCCACCTCCCCTCTGCCTCTGATAACTGCAAATCTGATCTCCTTTTCTAGCAGTTTGACTTTTGCTTTAGATTCCACATATAAGTGAGATCATACAGAATTTGTCTTTATCTGGTTTATTTTGCTTAGCATAATGCTTTCAAGGTCCATCCACATTGTAGGATTTCCTCATTTTTTAAGGCCAAATAAAATTCCATTGTATATACACATACATCTCTATAGCTATATCTTTATCTGTGTCTATCACAACTGTCTCCATTCATCTGTTCATCCCTCAGCGGACACTTAGGTTGTTTCCACGCCTTGGCTATTGTCAAGAATGCTGCCAGGAGCACGGGGGTGCAGATAGATATCTTTTTGCCTTTACTCTTTCTTTGATGTAGCAAAGCCAGGCAGGAAAACAACTAGTTGTATTTCCCAGCCCCTCCCCTGAAGCTGCTCCCCAGCACTGCCCCCCAACCAGAAGTGACCAAGGAGGGAGGGGGTATGAAGACACTGAAGCCAAGGGGAGGCAGATGGGGAGGGGAACGCAGGGCCTATTAGCCTGCGGGTGCTTGCTCTGGCTTCTGCCCCACTTGCCCACCTCCTAACCACACATACACAGAACAGGATCCCAAATATCCTCCAAATAGGTGACTTGTCCATCCCTTACCCCATTCCACCAGGATCCTGGAGCTTAAAGTCAGGATTCTCACACCCCTGCATCTCTGGGGCCTCAGAATTCCCTCACTGAGCCTCATTTGTAAAATGGGAGAAGAGACCCTGCCTGATAGGGTTGAGTCTCATATGAGCTAAGGTACCTGGCACATAGAAGACCCTTGATTAATCCGCGCCTGCTATTGTTACTGTCTTGTCATCTCCCAGCAGGGCAGCCGTGAGGGGAGTCGTCTCTCTAGGCTCTCATCAGGAGAACCTTCACGGACCCCCATCAGCCAGTTTTCCTGGGCCTCTTTCATATTCCTTTTTTCCTCCTCAGACTGTGGTCTGGCCATGGAGATGCCTCTCAAAGTCCTACACCCACCCTTCATGTTGCTTCCTTAAGCTCCAGTTTCCCCGAACCCCTTTCCCCAAAAGCTACAGGAAAGGAGAGGGGCCCAGGTTGCTCAGGCTTTGGAGAGATGGCTGATGAGGGCTGTGTGGGGAGAAGGGTCCCAGGAGCAGCCGGTGCTGGGGCGGAGGCAGAGGAGGAGAGAGCAGGGAGAGGGAGGAGACAGCTCTGGGTATGGGCTTGGCTTCAAGAGATGGAGGCTGGGTGCAGGTGGGCGAAGCGTTTGTGGGTAGTGGGGAGGTGGAGTGTGGCTGGCTGCCGCCTCTGGGGCTAGGGTCTAAGCATCGGCTAGAATGGGGCTGTCTGGGTATCTTGTTTTGACCTTCATTCATGCCCAGAGCTGGGCGGTGGCTGTGAGTGTGTGTTGAGCTTGTGGGTGGAAGAAGGCACCGGTTGCTCACACACAGGGCTGGGGAGGCGTGGAGGGCCCACTACTTGCTCTTGGAGGCCCCTGGTTGGAGGTGGAGGCTGCCCTGCCCGAGTCCCTTCCCCGGCTTGCAGGTGCCTGCGGAGAGGCGGGCGCACAGGTGCAAACGTTGCCATCGCTGCCGCAGTCACATCCCTGGCTGGAGGAGAAGCAGCTGTTCCGCGCAGGGCACTTCTGGTTCCATGAAATATTTAAGGCCATGGGGATGTGACTTGGTGACGCAGTCACTTCATCTCAGCTCTCCCCCTCCCCGCCAGCTCTGTCTTAGAGCTGGACTCTGTGTTGATGGGTCTGTTCTTTTCGTTCTCAGCACGTCCTGCTTTTATTTAGCTGTCCTCCTTACCTCCACAAACCTTCTCATGCATTAATTCACTAAACCTCACAATCGACCGGGAGGGAGGCGTGTGTTAGGATCTTGATTTTACTTCTCATGGGTGGGGTCACGGAGCGAGCTGATGCTGGAATGGGTCACTAGGTTAGCTCTTGGGAGGTTGAGGGTCAATTCCTGCCTCTGCTACCAACTCTCTGGGCCACAGTGGTGGGGAAGTCACCTCTCCCTACACCGAACGCACCCTGGTCTCTGTTTAATCATCTGTCAAATGAGGGCGACTAGGTGGTGGCGTGGGTTTCTTCCCATTCTAAAATGTTGTCATCCTGAGTTAGGGGTGCTCCAACCACATCCTGGGAAGTCTCAGACCCAGGCTTGGAATCAGAGGCAGGGATCGTACGTCTGTCTTTTCATTTCTCCCCACCTGGCTGTTGTGGCGGGGGTGAACTTCTGCTTGTTGGATACATGACGCACTCATACTTTTTCACACACTTGGCTCTGACGAGGTGAGGCTTGAGACTGATTTACACACCCAAAGGAGCAATGACCCCATCCAAATGGTCCCCCTGGGAAACCATATGTTCACACCAATTTGCTGTAGTTTCTCAAACATTTCTGGAAACTCTTTTGGAAGCATCTCAGAGCCTGTGGCATATGCTCTGCAAATCCTCACTGTGGAGTGACTCTTTGTCCTTTGGAGTGGCTTTACTCTCGTGGAAACGACTGGTGGTCATGCCTTGTGATGAAGGAGGGAACCCAGCTGGGGAGCAGAACTTGACCAGGAATTGAGGTGTGGGTACCCTGTAGTGAGGCCTTGTGTCCCTTGCAGCTCCGACACCCATCTAGAAGACCTCTCCGCAAGAGAAGTTTCCAGAGCTTTTTGTGGGCACGAGCAGCACCACTGGAGTGGATGTTGGCCTCTCAGGGGATGACTTGAAAGCCTCCGCCACCCTTCACTGTGTATGTCCTGGTTTGCCTGTGAAAAAGCCCATCGTTGCCACTCTGCCAGGCATAGGGACACACCCCCCTGCAGCTGGCACTCTCGGGAACGGGGCCAACACTGGTGATTCAAACACAGGGGCTGCTCATTTCCAAAGTGCTTTGTGTCTTCTGAAACCACACACTGGCAGGGGTGGAAGAAACTTGAAGATCAATCCATCTTCCTTGAGCTAGAGAAGAGAAACTAAGGCCCAGAGAGAGAAAGCAGCTCTTCTGAGGACTAGAACCCATGCCAGC